TTAAAAAAAAAAAAGGGGGGGGGTGCGGAGACCCCCCCAAAATATTGGGGCGTGTTTTTTTAATTTTTTTTTCCCCCCCCACACAAAAAAATCCGGGCTTTTTTTTGAGGGGTTTCTTACCCTTTTAAAAAAAAAATTAACCTTTTTATGAAAACCCCCCCCCTTTTTTTTTTTTTTTTTATTCCCCCCCAACAAAGAGAAATTTTTTCTGGTTTTTTTTATTTTTGGGCGAACCCCCCCCAAACCTTTTGGGGCAATAACCAGGAGTTTTTTTTTTTTTAAACAAAACCTTTTTTGGCTTGGTGGAAATTTACGCGAGCACTTGCCAAGTGCTCGCGTAAATTCACACGAGCACATGAATAAAAAATAAAATTCATCTACTCGTGTGAATTTACACGAGCACTTGGCAAGTGCTCGCGAAAATTCACACAAGCATATACGGTTTCGGGAAAAAAACGAAAAACTTACATTCGGGTCTAAGTTGTTTGGATCCATCGCAAAAATTGTTGAATATCTGAAATTTTTCACTTTGAATGTTGAGTTTTATATTTTATAGGATTTGGTAGGAATAGTACAAAAGGTAAATAGTTATGGTAAAAAGGTAAAAAATCATGCTAAAAAAGTGCCTGAATGTTTAATTTGGCCTGCGTATATCAACTCCCATAGTAATACTCGCTAAATTCATAGTCGGGTTGGTATCCAACGGGTCGGACCATTATTTTATTTTGGGTAAATTACGAATCTTATTTGGGTAATTACAACCACACCTCAACTATAAATCTTCTTACACGTTCACCATTGCGGTTTCAAATTTAGTGGAATCTTCTAGATTATATGGAATATTATCACTTTTGTACCCGCTTTATCTCATTTGAACTCCACATTTCGAAGCAAGATGATCATAATATGTGTTTTTTGGCTTGTATATATCAAATTGTAGTGCATCAAAAACTGTATTTTTACACAAAATGAGAATAATTAGAGCACATTCCACGGAATCTAGATAATTATGTTGAATTTGACACCATAAGGGTGGAAGTGTAAGAAAAAAATCATAGTTGAGGGGTAGATGTAATTATCCAAACAAGAGGGTTTTTTCCATAAATTGACCATACCCTCAGGGGTGGTTGTAATTTACCCTTTTATTTTTGAAGAAGAGAAATTTTATTAGGCATAAAGAGCCAAGCTTGGAGGAAGGGTATTTTCGTACAAGGCACATTTAGTGGTGGAAGCCATGTTGAGGGGTGGTCTATACGTGGCAGTTGAGTTTGTTTGAAGAGGTCAATGTGCGAGCTAAGAATATCGTCGATGCACGGCGTAGCTTCCCCGTGAACAACTTGTTCCTCTTATCACAGGTTTTCCATAAAATGACCGACGCTAATTGTTGTTGTTCAGTATTGAGTGTATTAATGCAACGTTCCAGCCATACCTCGAATGCCGTGTGACTACCCGCACTCCGTGAGAATATGCATGATCGTTTCAATATCTCCACAAGAGCAGCAGAATGGAGACGATGCAATCTTACGCCAAAAAAATTTGGTGGCAGTTGGGAGAATGTTCTTGCACGCTCGCCATAGAAAGATACGAATTTTAGGTGGGATATTGAGTTTCCAGATTTGATGCAAGGCGGGTCCGCTTCCACTCGAAGAGTGCCCATCATGGTGCGAGGTGCTATCGACCTTGGTCCGGGACAAAATGAGGCGATAACACGAGTTAACTGTAAATCAGCCCGTCGAGTGAAGTGATAAAATTAATGTCTTGGAAACTACAAATTACATATTTTCTATATCTTGGAAAATTGGATATTTATTATCTTTGAATATCTCTTTGTTGTTTCTTTGATGCCCAAGAAAATATTCCCGAACCAAGAGAAAAAGTATAGCCCGATGTGCTTCTCATATCATCAACACATCCAGCCCAATCACTATCACAAAACCCAAGCAAGTTTGCTTCAACACCCCTTTCATATAAAATACCAAAATCAAGAGTACCTTGGATATATCGAAGCACTCTTTTTGCAGCCCCAAGGTGATTTTGACTTGGTTTGTGCATGAATCTTGACAACATGTTTGTAGCGTACATGATGCCCGGCCTTGTTGCGGTTAAATACAACAAGCTTCCAACTAAACTTCGATAAATCGAAACATCCACTTCCTTGCTTCCATCTTCTTTCTTCAACTTTTCATTTACGATTAAAGGTGTAGCCACCGATTTGCAATCTCCCATTTTGAATTTTTCAAGGAGAGTTTTGGCATATTTCTTTTGATAAATAAGAATGTTATCTTTGTTTTGACAAATCTCAATACCCAAGAAATAATGCAAGAGACCCATATCACTCATTTCATATTTTTGCATCATGTCTCTTTTAAAACTTTCAATCATTTCACCATTGTTTCCGGTGAACACCAAATCATCAACATAAAGTGAAGCAATAAGAATATCGGTAGTACCTTGTGACTTCACATATAAGGTTGGTTCGTTTTTGCTCCTTTGAAAGCCCTTCTTGAGAAAATAAGAATCAATCTCGCTATACCATGCTCGAGGTGCTTGTTTTAGCCCGTATAGCGCCTTCTTCAACTTGTACACTTTGCTTTCTTTTTCTTTGATGATAAAGCCTTGTGGTTGCTCGACATACACATCTTCCTCCAATTTTCCATTCAAAAAAGCCGATTTTACATCAAGTTGATATAAAAACCAACCCTTTTGAGCGACTAATGCAATAAGTGTCCGAATCGTATCCAATCGAGCCACCGGTGCAAACGTCTCCTGAAAATCAATTCCGGGCTGTTGAGAATACCCTTTTGCTACGAGCCTTGCTTTGTTCCTTTGAACCGAACCATAAGGATTAAGCTTCGTTTTGAAAATCCAATTCACCACAATTACATCTTTGTCTTGAGGCCTTTTCACCAAATCCCAAGTTTTGTTTTTCTCGATAACTTGGATTTCTTCCTCCATGGCTTTCTTCCATGCTTCCTCCTTTATTGCTGCTTCGAAATTTTCCGGTTCAGTAATGCAAAAATTACATCTAGCATAAATATCGTTCAAGCTTCTCATTTTTCTTGGAGTTGAACTCGGAGATGAAGAATTTGAACTTGACGGAGAAGAAGAATTTGAGCTTGATGGAGCAGATGGTGGACATGTAGTTGGAGGAACCTCTCCCGGAATCTCATCTTCAACTTCATCTTCTTGATTTTCTTTCTCTTCTTCAAAAGGGTAAGATTGAACCTGGACATCCTTTTCTTTCCAGTCATGAGCCATCTTTTCATTGAATAAGACATCTCGTGAAACGATGACTTTGTTTTTCGACAAATGAAATAGTCGATAGCCCTTTGATTTTGAGCTATAACCCACAAAGATGCATTTTTCACTTACTTCATCAAGCTTGCGCCTCGTTTCTTTTGGAACATGGGCATAGCAAATACACCCAAAACTTTCAAGTAACTCAAGGATGGTTTTCTCCCACTCCAAGCCTCGAGAGGAGTCTTATTGTTCAAGGCTTTTGTAGGACATCTATTCAGCAAATAGACCGCCGTATACACAGCTTCGCCCCAAAAATTTTTGGGCAATCCCTTCTCATAAAGCATCGATTTCGCCATTTCTTCAATGCTTCTATTCTTTCTTTCGGCGACTCCGTTTTGTTGTAGAGTGAAGCCAACGGTAACCTGCCTATCGACACCAATATCCTCACAAAATTTGTTAAATTCATTGGAGTTATATTCACCTCCTCTATCACTTCTCAAAACTTTTAAAAGAAACCCACTTTGTCTTTCGACATACATTTGGAATTTCTTAAAAATAGAGAACACTTCAGATTTTTGTTTCATAAAATACACCCAAGTCATTCTCGTAAAATCATCAATGAAAATGAGAAAATACTTGTTACCGGCATGAGTTGGAGTCGACCTTGGCCCACACACATCCGTATGAACAAGCTCCAGCGGTGATTTTGCTCTCCAAGCTTTTTCTTTCGGAAGTGACTCTCGATGGTGTTTTCCGAGTGCACATCCCTCACACGTTTCTTGCACTTCTTTGATAGATGGCAGCCCGTAGACCATCTCCTTCTCTTTTAGGTTCTTAAGACTTTGAAAATTTAAGTGCCCAAGCCTTCTATGCCACAACCAAGATTCATCGACAACATCCATTCTCAATACAAATTCCATATTTTCTATATCTTGGAAAATTGGATATTTATTATCTTTGAATATCTCTTTGTTTTCTCAAGAATGTCTTTTGATATTACGTAAGTTCTCTATATATAGAGACTCCATGTAATCATATTTTGAATCAAGAAATAATAAGAAAAGTGTCTACCCAAACTAGAGGTGGCCTTTGTTCATATTCTTATCCACCTAAATTTTCAGCAAATACAAAATATAAACTTTAGTATTTCTCAATTCCAACATGAAGTGCCAGATCTTCCTATCACCAGTGGTTGCACCGCCAATGGGGGTTGAGAGAATTTGTATTCGGTCAACCGGCCAAAAAGCCTGGTTAATTAGAGGAATGTTCCATGAACAAGACTCCGAATCAATTATGTCAGCCACCGTGTATGGGAATGAGCTGTGAATTGGCCGCTTGGTGATAGTCCGGAAACTGCCATCGTCCACAATCCATTGGACCCCCAAATCAAAGCAGTGATACCATTGTCAATCCTAACTCTAAGGCATGTTTGTACGTAGCTCCTTGCCGCCAGAATGCTTCTCCATGTAGTCGAGGGTCGAGAGTCGATATTAGCCGAATGGAAATCACAATCTCGGAAGTATTTCGCCTCGAGGATTTCTAACAAGAGTAGATCCGGCTGTGAGATAGCTAAGTTAAAGCTTTTCATATCCCGAAAACCAAAAACCACCCTCAACCTTAGGCAAACACATTGTCTTCCACGAAAGCCAAGCCAAGCCCTTATTTTTTTTATTTCCCCACCAATACCTCTGATAGCCGATGCAGACCACTCGGTAGCCAAAAATAGCTCATAACATAGGTCGGTGTAGATTGAAAAATCGATTTAATAAGAATTTTCTTACCAGCGCGAGATAATTGTTTAGTCACCCCATCCTCTAATCTTGTCCCAAAAGCGGTCGCGAAGATATGCAAAAATATCCTTCTTAGTTCCCCCCATTGAACATGGCATCCCAAGCTATTTATCATGTTTCTCCACCACTTTGAATCCCAAAATTTCGTTGATGGTGGCCTTAGTAGCCGGTGGAGTAGACGAGCTAAAAACCATGATTGATTTGTCAAGATTGATCTCTTGTCCTGACGTCGCTGCGTATATACTGAGGATATCTTTAAGAGTCCTAGCGTCTTGTTCCGATGCATCGCAGAAGAACAAAATGTCATCTGCAAAACACAGATTGGAGATAGCAGGTGCCATAGGTGCAATTTGGATTCGGTGGAGTCTTCCACAGTTCCATCACTTACGGCTGTGGCGGTCATAGCAATGAGTGCCTTTCTGCAATATATAAAAAGGTAAGGGGAGAGAGGGTCCCCTTGCCGAAGTCCTCTCGACGGACGAATCGACCCAAACTGAGTACCATTAAAAAGAAAATAAGAGACCGTAGAAACACAAATCACGATATGATCAATAAACGAAACAGGAAGACCAATTCGGAGGAGATTTGTTTTGGGAAATGTGCATGGTTCTACAAGAAATCATCTCATTTTGCATGGTTCTACAAGAAATCATTATAATTTTATTTTATTTTGTTTTTTCGATAATTAAGTATTTTGTTATAAAGAAAATTACATATGACACGCAAATGCAAAGCAGAAGGTTTCATGAGTCAAATTGCCAGAAAAGGGAAAAATATGATGAAAGGCTTTGGATGGAAAGTCCAACAAACCGGATGGTCTAGATTGCTTGAGAGATCGGGAAGTTCTTGTATCTGATCATAGAAGAAAAGGGAGAGCGAGAGAAGTTATTGTAGTGGAAGTTGGGCCTTATGTACCTATTACCGACGATGACTTTGTCGTTAATGTTCTACTCCAATACAGAATAGGGATGACGACGATGTGACATTGGCGGATAATGAGGTGGACGATGACGACGAGGATGATGATAATGGTGATAATGATGATGGTGATGATGAGGTTGTTGTGCTGGCACCTTGTGCAGGTGTTGAAAATTCTCTTGTGTTGGGTGGTCCGGATCGGCGGTTTATTCAAACCGGCCCCGAACCTCCCTATACACGGTCCGGTTCAGGTTCACTCAATACTTGAGTGTCGAACTTGAACAGCCGGTTCCGAAACGGAACTGGCCGGGTGTCGTACCTTGGTCATGTCTAGATGGTGGACATCTAAGGGGGAATGTGATTAAATTTTTGGAGGTCATGAATGACCACCATTACACTCACCTAGGGTGGAAATCGGAAAGAAAGTTTTTATTAACGTCAGCTTCGGTATGAATTTTCCAATTTTGGAACAGTTTTCTATGGTTCGATTTTCGATCAAAACATAATTCCGATCAAAATAATTTTGAAAATTTCCAAAAAATATTACTATTTATTAACTATTATACAATTCTGAATTTTCCGAAAGTATTTACGAATAATTGATCAATTATTCTTTTCTCTGTCTCTCTTTCTCCCGTCTTCTCTTTTCTCCCATTTTCTTCTCTCTTTTCTCTTTTGTCACACGACAAAGCGCCGCAGCTGAAAGCGCTGCCGAAGCGGCGATGATGCTGACGTGGATGGGCTGACGTGGATGGGCTCCTTTCTTAGTAGATCGGCGGTGGTGGCTGTCGACGGTGGATTTTGGTGCTTTTTCTAAGGGTAAATTCCATTTTCCCCCTTGTACATTGACTCGGAATTACTTTATCCCCTTCTACTATCGATTGCCATTGATTTGCCCCCTGCACTAGAAAAATTGTCTCAATGAGACCATCGATGTTAGTTGTCAGACATTTGACCTTAATACCGTTTATCTAAAATTAAAAAAATGCCACATCTCCCAGTTTAAATAATTATTAAAAAAACAAAAAATAAAATAATAAAAAATTCAAACGAGAAAACCTAGTCCACGACGCCAGCCACAATTTATTTTTAATTTTTTTAATTTTTTGTAATAATTATTTAAATTGAGAGGGGTGATTTTTTTTTTTTTTCCGACTTATATCAAATGGTGTTAAATTTAAAGGTCTGAAAATGAACGGTGAGGGCCACATTGAGATAATTTTTCAAGTAAATGAGGTAACTCGATGCAATCGAGAGTAGAAGGGGACAAAGTGATCTTGTACCAAAGTACAAGAAAGGAAAGTGAAATTTATCCTTTTTTTATTGAGCCAATGGTTGGTTGCTATTCCTTAATATGCATCAATGTATGTGTTTTGTGTTTGGCATTAATGGATGGTGGTGTCTGTTTTGGCAAAATACATACATAGATGCAACTCCTGAGACCGACGGTCAACGCCGGAATTTGACTGGAAAAAAAATCAGAAAAAAGTATATTCTAAAAAGAGATTTACTCCCTCCTTCCCATTTTAATTGTCGTTTTAGGCTAATTCACACATATTAAGAAAACTAATAAATGTGCATGGATTCTATAAAAATCTTAATAAAATGACTAAAAACCCACTTTAATAAATGTTTTCCCATTAATTTTATTAATAGTATTAAGGGCATAATTGAGAAAAACACAATAAATACTTCATTGGAATCCTAAAGTGACAATTATTTTGAAAAAAAAAAATTCTCTAGAAAGACAAATAAAATAGGAAGGAGGGAGTATTTTTTCAAAAAAGTTATGAAAATGGGGTTTAATATGATATATTTGTTCAAATTCAAAGTCAAATATTGATTGAATTATAGTATAATGGATGAAATAAAATTGATGAAAATTATACTATGTGTGATATTTTAGACAAAATACATGAAGTGAGATTTATTTTCAAATTTTTTTTTTCTCAACCAACGTTCATTTAAATATCTCATATTTATCTTTTGATGTAAATATATTATACAAAGAGCACCGGGAATTGAAGAAGAAGCAAAGAGAGCAAAAAGTGGAGAGAGTCTTGTATTGAAAGCCACATCTCACCGCACTGCGTCCCCAATTTAAAAATAGTAAATAAATTATATTTAACTCTTAATAATTACATTAAATAATATAATATAATTTGTTCCCACCACCACCACCTCCTCCATTGCAGCTTTTCCTCCTTCCCAATCTCAATTTTTGGATTTCTTAATGATCGCCGATTCCGATTTCGTAATCTACAAGTAACGGATCGCTGATCGGAGGTTGCGATTTTAATTTCTGTGTGAATTTCTGCGATCGAATCATGTCGGGATGCCCATCGTCTTCGTCGGGATCGGAGGAAGAAGATGAAGGAATCGACTCGTACAGAAAAGGTGGGTACCACGCCGTCAGAATCGGCGATTCTTTCGCCGGCGGTCGGTACATCGCTCAGCAGAAACTCGGCTGGGGTCAGTTCTCCACCGTTTGGCTCGCTTACGATACTCAATCATCTGTAAGAATTTCCTCTTTTTTTTTTTTTTTTTTTTTTTTTTTTTTATTTTACCAATTTCTGTGGATGACATTGTTTGGATTATATCTCTTGTTTGTGACTGTGAGTACCTATTGATGTGCAAATGCAATTTAGAAAGATATCTTTGTATTTTTTGAATTAGCTGTATTAATCGCGATTGGATCGATGCTTGGTTTGTTTGTCGTCGTTCGTATTGATGATCTCGAGAAGGTAGTTATTTCATGAAAGGAAATGCGTGGACTCACTAGTTTTGAAGTTCATTAACTTCAACGCGGAATGATAGTTGTTACACGTGTTCTTAATCATGGCTGATGAATGAATGATGTTATAATAATAAGTATAGCTTATTTGACGTGTTGTGATCCCAGCCTTTTCAAATTTGATGTCTTGTTTCTGAAAAATAACAATTCACGTGTAATTTAAGAAGTAATTCGATGCTGTTTCGTATTTCATACTACTTGTTAGATGCGGAAAAAAAGTGCTTTTAGTACGCAAAGTACTAACTGCAAGATTTGACTCGGGGGATCGTTTCATTTTCAGTACTTACTTTTCGAGAATTATAGCTTTTGTAAATAAATTATTATTTTGCACGATTGCAAGTCGCGTAACATGTTTAATACCAAAACCGGAGTGGATTTTGTGACATTTTCATGTTTGTGGTCCTTTTTGGTGTTTGTGACGACATCTTCGTGTTTGTGGTCCTTTATTATTTCACAGAAATATGTTGCCTTGAAGATCCAAAAAAGTTCGCCTCAGTTTGCTCAAGCTGCACTTCACGAGATTGAGATCCTTTCTGCTGTTACTGCTGGTGACCCGTCGAACATTAAATGTGTCGTACACTTAGTGGACCACTTTAAACACGCGGGCCCAAACGGGCAGCATTTATGCATGGTCCTGGAATTCCTAGGTGATAGTTTGCTCCGCCTTATCAAGTACAACCGTTACAAAGGCCTTGAATTCAACAAAGTTAGGGAGATATGTAAATGCATTTTGACTTCTCTCGATTATTTGCACGGCGAACTAGGACTTATACACACTGACCTCAAACCCGAAAACATTCTTCTATGCACCACCATTAATCCGTCAAAAGACCCAATTAGGTCAGGGATGACTCCCACGCTTGAAAGGCCCGAGGGAAACGCGAATGGAGGAATATCCATAAGTACAATCGAGAAAAAACTAAAACAAAGGGCAAGAAGGGCAGTTGCAAAAATATCAGAGAGGCGAGTTTCCATGGGAGGGGTGGGCATGGTTCCCAAGCCTGCTAGATGCTTGGATGGGATAGACTTGAGATGTAAGGTTGTGGATTTTGGAAATGCGTGCTGGGCGGATCGGCCAATCGCTGAAGAGATTCAAACAAGGCAATACAGAGCTCCAGAAGTTATACTTCAGTCTGGTTATTCGTTTGCTGCTGATATGTGGTCTTTTGCTTGTACTGCATTTGAGCTCGCGACTGGTGAGATGATGTTTACACCCAAGACTGGTCAAGGGTTCAGTGAGGATGAGGTAATCATTTCACCCGATTTCATGCTTATATGCATTATAGCATGCTTCTGACGAGCTCGTTGCTCTTGTGTTCCTCACTTAATTCTACAGAAATGCTTTAAATTTGAAATCTAAAGCTTTTTTATGTAAGATACAGAAACTAGAGTTAAATATTTTATGAAAGAAAACCCAACTATGTTTGTAAATTACTAGCGTTGATGTTTATTTTCATATACAAATTGCACATATATGGAAAACAGAACGAACGGTTAAAACAGTATTTAACTATTTTTAATTTCGAAACTTTGATATTTTTTTCGTAAAAACTTCAATGGCAGTTTCTGTAATTTACCTTAACTTTAAGTGTACTGATATGGTCAAGTTGAGATTATTAGGAGTATATTGGTGATTGGTCGATGTAGCTGGTTGTACTTTAAGTGAGTAATGGCCCTTATCTCATAGAAGCTCATATATGCAGTTTCAAGAATCGGAAATTTAGGGAGCAAAAAATTCAAATATGAGTTGCGTTGAAATCCTAGTTATTATTCTTCTTTCAGATTTATATAGCTAGTTTGACTAGAAATGGTAGCAGTTGACTTGTGATAAAAACAAAAAGTTGTGCTTTTGCAGGATCACCTTGCTATGATGATGGAGTTCCTTGGAAAGATGCCACGGAAGGTAAACACGTAAATCTCATTTCTCTATATTACTCGAACGACATGCAAGATTTTGCTGACCACCATTCTTGATGGTTTGAATAAAAGATCGCCACAGGTGGGGCCCGATCTAAAGATTACTTTGATAGATATGGCGATTTGAAGAGGATTCGAAGGCTCAAGTATGGGTCTCTTGATCGGCTACTTATTGAAAAATATAAATTTTCTGATGCTGATGCTCGTGAACTTGCGGATTTTCTCTCTCCCATTCTTAATTTTGAGCCGGAAAAACGGCCTACTGCCCGGCAGTGCCTGCAGCACCCATGGCTCAATATCGAAAATCAGACGCATGGTGAGGTAAAGAGCGAATCCAGCGTTGAAAAGGTGAATGTTGGAATGAGCAACCTGCAAATTAAGTTGCACAAGTGATGTATGAAAATGAAAGACAGTTTTTTTCCCACATGTTTTGAGTTTTGTTGTTCGTGGTTAATTTTTTTTTTGGATTATTCGGTCGGAGTCTTTGTTATATTTGATTTATTGACTAGTTGAGATGTAGTATATATATTATGTGATTAGCACGATAAAAATGTTAACACGTGATTGAGAAACTGATATTCAAGTGCCGAATGTGTATGGCCGGCATTTGTAAATGTATCGAGGTAGTTGCTTCATAGATGTGGATTTTCATCGAACAATTTGATGATGGTTTTCTTGCTTTATGATTGAACATTGAGAAAAAGGAAGCTCCAAAGTGACTTGGCTGCAGATCTCGTACTCTTGTATATTGTTACCCTCGAAGAAAAATCCAGAAATATCAAGCTGAAGTCAGAGTGAAGCTGATTATTTTGCTGGAATTGTAATAGAGTAGCTGGATTTTGGTGCTTCAAAGGACAATGGTTTACTAGAATTGTGTGATATTATGATAGCTGCTTTGTGTGATAATAATCTTGTATTAGGAGTTTTGAACTGTATAATTGTACTCCCTTTTGCAATTTATCTTGATTATAGAACCTCCAACCCACACCGACACCCCGATTTGAATATCAGTAATTTTATTTCATCATGGAATAAAAATAACTTGTTGAGAAAATGAATCCTAAATCTTAAAATGTGGCAACTTATTTTTTTTAGTGAATACTAGTGATGTTACATGAAATATATTGAATAGCATCTCGCTATATATTTATGCATATAGAATTAATATCATGGTAAATAAAATAGAGAGTCGTTGGGTAAATTAGGTTAATCGTATGTGACAGGCTTGAAAATTAGCTGATACTTAAATGCTAGCATGATGGACTAGAAACTGAATGTCTTTGACACGAGCACTTGTCTAGTTTGAGAAGAAATGAGGTACTATAAATAAGACTAGTGTTTCCTCAGCTAGGGAGAATTAATAACTCCATTGGATTTTAAGGGTTTTGGATGTGAGAGAAAGGACCACATGGAAATCAGTTTTCTACTTAACTCTTGGATGAATCATAGGCAATTTTAATAGTATTTGCGTTACTAAGTGGGCCAACATATTTGATGTAAGAGCCTGTCAATTTTAATGAATCATAGGTCAATTTTAATAGTGTTATAAATAAGGGCGAATGGCAAAAATGCCCATTACATGGAACTTAAATGCATTTTGGTCCAAAAAAAAAAAGTCTCTCAATTCGAAACTCTTTCATGCTTCAAAGATTTTAAAATCCAAGTTGAGAAATTTTCCGGTTCAAAATAAAAAAATTGAGGAGTGATCGTGGTGGAGAATATTTATCTTCTTTATTAGAAGAATTTTGTTGAATCCCTGGGATTAGACATCAATTGACGGCCCGGTATACACCGCAACAAAATGGTGTGGCGGAGCGAAAAAATCGAACAATCATGGATATGGTTCGGTGTATGTTGAAAAAGAAAAATATTCCATCGGAGTTTTAGGCTGAAGCGGTCGATTGTGCCGTTTATTTGATCAACCGAACACCGACGAAGAGTTTGGAGAATTCTACTCCAAATGAGGTCCGGTATGGTAAGAAGCCAAATTTTAGTCATCTTAAAACATTTGGTTGTCTTGCATATTCACATATTCTAAATGCTACGAGGACCAAGTTCGACGATAAAACCGAAAAATGCATTTTCATTGGGTACAGTGAGAGGTCAAAAGCTTACAAGCTTTACAATTCTCAAACGAAAAAAATTGTGATAAGTCGTGATGTTCGTTTTGATGAAAAATCCTCTTATGATTTTTCAAAAAATTCAGAATCATTAACTTGGCTGACCCTTGGAGTTGAAGAAGGCGATTCTCAAGCAATGCAACCAAGTGATGGTGAAAATGAGTCTCCACAAAATTCACCATCACCCCAGCCAAGAAAAATGAGGAGTTTGAGAGAAATCTATGATGAAACAGAGGAGGTGAATGCAACAAATCCTATTTTCTTTGCATTCTTTGCCGGGATGATCAATTCCTTTTGAAGAAGCCTGAAAAGAATAAAAATGGAATCAAACAATGAAAGAAGGGATCAAGGCGATTGAAAAGAATGAAACTTGGGAGCTCACACCTTTACTGATACGCGTTTTCCTCACGTATAAATTACCGCAAGTATACGGTATCGCATTTTGCAGAACAGTGGTTCCGGATATCGATCCACAGGGACCTTGTAGATTCAAATGTTGAGTAGTGTAATTATATTATCGTTATATTATCTAGCCGATCGTAAATAAGTGGATTGGTGAGAAACCCTAATTTAAAAGCATGCAAGAACGTAAACATGCAAATATAAAATGTACGTAAAATAAAGTAACGACAACTCAACGCGGGGGACTTCGATTTAAAAGGGACTTCTAGGGCCAAATCCACCTAGATATAATCAACAACGATCGACAAATCCGCTATCTAAAATCACGTTCCTATTCGTTAACCCAGACGCTAATATACTCTAACCCCCGTCTCCAGTGTAGCTAGAGTCTACCCACAGGTCCGACGTCTCCGTTCAGAACCTGCTATTAAGAGAGCATTTAGGTCAAGTCCTTAAGGGCTACCCGAAGTGCATCACGTCTCCGTTTCCACACCCCGGGCTATGTTTTCCTAACTTCAAACAAGAAATCCTCTCTCGAGTTCATTCCTATTTAATATCAGTCTGAGAGCTGATCAACACAATCAGAAGCATTTAATACAGGAAAACATAAACGAAATCAAAACATGACAAATAGAAAGTAGAAATGACGATCGAAATCAATATATACAAGGCTTCATTACCCTAGAAGAAAATGTTCTTAGTTCATAACAAACATAGTATCAAAAGAATGTACAAAGGAAATGAAGAACAAAACGTAAAGAAATTGCGTAAGAAAAACCCAAGTCGGAACCCCCGTTGATGATTCCCGCGAAGAACCGTCGAAAACCGTAAAAAGTCGAAGTGAATGAAGAGTGAGGGCTTGCTTCTATTTATAGTAAATTGCAAAGCTTCCTCAAGAAGCTTTGCAATTTAAAATATCTGCCCTTGAAAATCGTGCCAGATCGCGATCCAATAAAGTCAGATCGCGATCTGGCTTCTTGAAAAAAAACGTGAACCGCCTTCCAGATCGCGATCCAATAAGTGCGGATCGCGATCTGGCCCCAAAATCCCGATGCTACTGGAATTTGACACCAGATCGCGATCCGACTTTCCTGGATCGCGATCTGGGTCTGAACTTTGCTTGCTACTGGAATTTGCCCCCAGATCGCGATCCGACTTCCCTGGATCGCGATCTGGGTCTTATTGACCACTTTCTCGGCTTGAAAAATCGGTTTCGCTTCCAAATGGCTTCGACTTGGCAACAAAAGCTAACAAAACCTAAAAAAAGAAATAAAACAAGAAACGCAATAATATATACAAATAAAGCCGAAACTCGGACGAACGAAGACCAAAACTCGAAGATTCGATAAGCAAAAATCGTGCAAAACGAACACTTATCACACCCTCAAACTTAGATCTTTACTCGTCCCGAGTAAATCAAAATGAAACTACAACGAAAATGAAATAAAAACAACAAACTAAACTAGGCCACTAACGTAGGGAAACACGATTGCATTTAGCGTATGCAACAAGCCTTTGAACCCCTGGGTACCCCCAAAGGACGAGTTGTGTCTCGTGAGGGTTTTCAGGCAACACACCCACAAAGTTGCCGGATTGGTCAAAGCATTGCAATTAATTCCAAAGATGAAACGAGCTAGATAACCTAAAATCTTAGAATGGCATACGGCTTAAGGTATTCGACTTTCTTACCGACGCAATTAGTTGTTTCTACACCAAAATGAAAGATAGACTCAAGAATCCGTAATTAAACAATAAACACAATTATCGAGGGTTTTGAGTAGAAATGCGGGTGAAAAGTAAGTTTTGATTCAGAGATTCAAAAACTCGAGTTGGGCATAAGTAGGTCTATTTATTCAAATAAAAGAAATGACAACTACAATATTTTTGGTGATTTTCATCACAACTTTTTCCTTTTTTCATTTTTTTTTGAAACGGGCATAATCGTGACTCGTGCAAGGCCCGACACCACTGTGTTATCTCCCTGACCCATTTATCGAACTTTAGTCCAAGAAACCCCCAAGCTCGACAGCTCGAGAGACTTAGGCGACGAGGTGCACCCAACGGGTTAAGCTCGAGTCAGAAAGGCGGGGAAATCAGAGCGTGAATCACAACAATACCACAAATTATTATTTTTATCTTTTTTTTTTTTTTTTTTTTTTTTTTTTTTTTTTTTTTTTTTTTTTTTAATGACAAACATAAAATAAAAACGTAAAGACCACTGATAGAACTTTTAGCCAACAACTGCAAATCGTGAATACATAATTCAATTCTAACTCGCCCCCCCAAACCTCAGACTATTATACCCCTCAGAAAAGTGCGCTCAAGCTTAATCGGAAAGGATTCGAAAGGCTATCCACACAAGTTGCAAAAACGCAGTCGGAAGGTTCATCTATAATTAGCCGGTTATCCATAATTTCAATTTTAAAATCAACTAGCCCATCTACTAATTCATTAATTGCTTTGCTTCAAAAGAACCCGGAAATGCAACTTACACTCGATCCTAAATGAAATGCATGTGACAAACATAACACAAAAACGGAATCAAAATACATAAACGAAACTAAATTATATGATATGCATGCAAAAGACCAAATCAAAATAAGATAAATAAAATAAAATAAAAACAAAGTCTAGCAAAGATACATCGTAAACGAAATATCAATCCAACGACTTATCCCAAAACAAACGAAAAAAAAAAAAAAAAACAAACAAGTTCAACACACACCACCCTCAAACTTAAATTCTAGCATAGTCCCTATGCTCAAAAGCAGAATAAAAAAATAAAAGGGATAGAAAACACAACGTCCCCTAGTTGTCGTGATCGTCCTCGTGGGCTCCTCCCTCCTCTTCCGGTCGTCCCCGCTCGTACTCCTCCCAGGCCTGTGCCACCAGTGTAGTGGCCGCCGCTTGTGCTTGCTCGTCGGCGGCGGAGGTTGATGCTCCATCATATCGGGGCCGTGGTGGGAACGGCCGTGGCTCGACAATGTCATCGGTCCTGCACTGAAGCGCTGCAGCCATGGCCTTCATCATTTTCTTGAACCATCCCACATTTTCCTCCATAACATCCATCCATTGGCCGACATACTCCGGGAGCTGTGGTTCTGCTTCTTGTCTGCCTCTTCTGCCCCTTTGTTCTGGTCGAGCCGCATGAACACCTGAGGGACCAGCATCTGGCAAGTCTGAGTCGCCCTCGCCTAGGGGTCCACTCGCTGGCTGGAGCTTGTGGTAAGGGAAGATAGGCTGTGGTGACCTGGTGAGCCGGTCATCCGCGTATGTGGGGACCCCTGCACGATCACACAGTGTAGTGATAAGGGAAGGGAACATCAGACCTAGAGAGGTATCACCTAAGCATCGTCGGATCTCAGCGTGTATGATCGCGCCCACATTCACAGGTGTCCTCTTCATAATGGCGTACATCAGTGTAAGACGTGGGGC